AAATTACAATATCTCCTCTTGGTTTTTAATTACACACAAATAATATTGGTTACGATAACTAATTAAAAGCAAAATTTGTTAAAATGGTGGAAAACTTATTGAAATGGTGTTATACGCTGAAAAATACCAATGTATCTGAAAAACATGTAAAAGTTAGTTTTCAATAGATGACACTTAATCACCAATAAACCTCACATGACAAATTCATACTTTTAAGTTAATGTAAGAAAAATCATAATGTAAAAAAACCCGAACGTTTTAATTTGCTAAGCTGAATATAATTTAGTTGTACATTAAGTGAATTCGTATTGTCATTATTTCGATTTAAATCTGCATGATCTTTGTTAAAGAAAAATATGGTTAAACTAGTAAAACCAAATATTGTTTCTTTACCTTTAACAAAAAAAAAATTGTTTCTTTACCCAAAATCGCATCGATAATTATCTATCAGCATTAAATACGTCACCTATGATATTAGCTTCTAGAGGTTGTCATGTCATGCATGTCATGTGAATTTACATTATTCACTTAAAGTTATAATGGTCCTACAAAATATGTGCTATGTATTATGAATTTATGATTATTTGTTGAAAAATAAAACTTATAAAAGTATCATCGATCTTTTCTCATTTCAGAAACATAAAAATAATATTTACTCAAAATATTTGGATTAACTATTTTGTACTATAATTTAATTTTTATAGTTTATGATTTATTAGAGGTTAAAAAATCTTTTTAGGGTTCAGATTTTAAAATTTAAAGTTGGAAAAACTTTTAATTAGTGGCATTCTAGAAAATAAATATATCATAATGATATTTTTGTAATTATTCCAAAAAAATACCGTATTTAATGAAAAACTAATTTGTCTTAATAAAATATATAAATAATTATTCAGAAATTTTTGAAAAATACTATTTTAAAAAATTATTTATTCATTATATTATTGAAGAAATTCGTATAAATACTCTCAAAATTTTTTCTGTTTTGAAAACTAACACTTCTTTCAAAATCTTTGAAAAATAACCTTTTCATACTTAAAATTACTAAAATATCCAAATCAAAATCCACTTTATCGTTATTTAATAACAAAAATTAAAAGTAAATATATTCGATCATTTTTTTAGTCATCACTGTTAATTTAACAAACTGTATTTTTTTCGTATGTACGTGCTTCGGTGGTGGTATATATATATATATATATTATACAGTTTGAATGAACGATGATAAACTCAATCTTGTAAAATATGTGTATATTTTTTTCTTTTTTTATTAATAATATCTTTAAATATCTACTCAATATGTCTATATCTAAATATAAAATAATATCAAAATATATTTTTTTTCTTTTGTTGTTATCAAAATATATTTTAAATAAAAAAATTAAGATTAATTTCGGAAATTATTTTTTTTTTTAATTTTAAATGTTCAAAATTAATCAGGATATATGTGTCTTTTTATTCAACAAAAAAGTTATTTTTCAAAAGTTTCAAAACAATAGTTTTCAAATTTTGTAAAATTTTTGGAATATTAAACCAATCATCCCTATATTATTTATGTTTGGATTAACTATATTGTATCAATGTTTAGTTTTGAGGATTTAGGGTTTGTTAGGGGTCAAAACATCTTTTGGGGTTAAAAATTCTAAGATTTAAGTTTTAAAAATTCATAATTAGTGATATTTTGCAAATGGACAACCCATTGTGACATTTTCGAAAAGTGGTGTGGATGGTAGAACCTGCACAGTTAGATTTGTCAAGAGTTTCAAGAGTATTGAGTCTTCCAAGTATGAAATCACAAACACAAAGGATTGAAGATGATTCTTATTGCTGTTTCTGTCAAAACTTAAGAATACAAGAGTTTCGGTGTAAAGAATTGCGGATCCCCTTTTTGAGGGAATTACATTAATATTTATAGCAGACTAGGTCGGCTAGGTAACCCTAGAGAAAATAGGAAGCTTTCCTTATCCTTTAGAAGTTTCATTTCCATGAAGTCGGCCATTCCTAGTGGGTTGCGCCGACCTACTCGGCCCACCTCGTCATGCCTTGGGCTCGGCCCACCTCGTCCATCACGGGCTGCACCTCGTCATGGGCTTCATGCTTATGCAAACCCAATTCTCTATTACGAATTTGTCTTTGCCGCTAAGTAGTGTTCGTGGCCTTGCCAGGCTCTGCGCTCTCGTCTTGCCATTTCGACAGCACCGTCGTGCAATCCGTCACAGGTCACCTTGTCGCCAAGTCTGTCTTGCAGAACTAGTCACCTTGTCACGCAGTCTGCCATGCCAGACAAGGCAGCTCGTCACCTAGTCTGTCCTGCCATACATGTCACCTTGTCAAGCAGTCTGTCATGCCAGACAAGGCAACTCGTCACCCAGTCTGTCCTGCCAGACATGTTACCTTGTCACACAGTCTGTCATGCTAGGTAAGGCAGCTTGTCACTCAGTATGTCCTGCCGTGCATGTCACCTTGTCACGCAGTCTGTCATGCCAGACAAGGCAGCT